ATATATATATATATATATATATATATATATAAGGATATAAATGTGCGCAATAAGCTATAAATCCTATTCAAGTCGTAACAGAAAACAGCTTAATCTTCTAAATGTGCTCGTCTAAAAAAACATTTGAAAGAGTTGAGATTTCCATATTAATGTAAAAATAAAATCAATCTAAGTTGCAACATTTGACCGTTGAGAAATATTTTCCAAAGTTTCAAAATACCTCGTTAAAAAATATTTGTAGTTTTGATGGTTTCAGAGTGTTAATAACCTTTTTATTGTTGTGATTTAATCATTTTTTTGTTCTTTTTATTCGTTATAAGACAATATTATCACAAAACCATATTTGTATTTAGATAAAAGGTTTTACTTTCTGGTTACAAAAATCGTTCCGTTATTTCATTATTGTTTTTGTTGAAATGTTTAAAAACAAAAGATAAATAATGAGTTTAAATATTTTATTTAACTTTCATCAAGAGTGCAGCTAAAGTTATAATTTTGTGTGTTTTGTGCCTGTAGGAAAGTCATGGAAGGCCCTGACTCCCCCCCAGAAGAGACCCTACGTGGAGGAGGCCGAGCGGCTGCGGGTGCAGCACATGCAGGACTATCCCAACTACAAGTACCGTCCACGCCGGAAGAAACAGCTGAAGCGCATCTGTAAGAGAGTGGACCCTGGCTTCCTCCTGAGCGGGCTGGCTCCGGATCATGGCACCCTGCCCGAGCGAGCCCTGACTCACCCCCACGACAAAGACGAGGGCGGCATCAGCGGCGGGTTTTCCGGCTCCAGCCCTTCTCTGCCCAGCGTGAGAACCTTCAGAGACCCAGCTGGCTCCAGTAGCAACTTTGACACCTACCCCTACGGCCTGCCCACGCCTCCTGAGATGTCCCCCTTGGATGCCATGGACCATGAGCACCTCCCCCCCACCTATTACTCCACGTCTGGTAGCTCTTCCGTCTCCTGCTCTTCCACGGCCTCGTGTTCAGACGAGCACCACCAGAGTCAGACACACATGGGCAGCCCACCCCCTTACCACACTGACTACACCCAAATCCACTGTGGGGGGACACATCTAGGCCACATCCCTCAAATGCACCAAACCGGAGGTGGCAGTGGACTGATACCCGGCCCTCCCCTGTCTTACTACAGTTCCTCTTCGTTCCCACAGATTCACCACGGTCTCCACCAGGGTCACCTGGGTCAACTGTCCCCCCCACCGGAGACTCAGGGGCACCTGGAAACTTTGGACCAGCTTAGCCAGGCTGAACTTCTGGGTGAGGTGGACCGCAATGAGTTTGACCAGTACCTGAACTCCACAGGGGGTGGGTTCCACCTCGAACATGGCGGCAGCATGACTGTAACAGGACACATCCAGGTGGCATCGACTGCCGCCACCTCTGCCGCCGCGTGTCCCAGCAGCACCACAGAAACCAGCCTCATTTCTGTGCTCGCGGATGCAACAGCTGCGTACTACAACAACTACAGCGTCTCATAAGCGTAACACGTGTCAAAACTTTACTGATTAGAGACACTAAACATGTTTAGAGATGGGGACTGACATTAGAAACATCACAGTTGGGTGCTGACAAGTAAAAGACGCTGGTGCCGATTCTTCCAGGACAAGGCAACGTTGAATACGGCAACAGGACTTGAGATTTGCTTTTTGAAGACCTTTTGCTTCTCATCTGAGGAGAATCCGAGAAGCTCCTTGGATGAGAAGCAACGCATCTTTCAAAATCGAAGCTAAAGCCCAGTTGGCTTCGAGTCAACTTGCTATGGGGAAACATTTTTGAACTTCTTTGAGAGATTTTTACCAGTTACAAACGGATCACTGATTTTCTGTAGAGGTTTGAGGAACATGAAGATAAGGAGATGGACACCTCAGGGACGCAGAGACAAAACATTCTTGTATGCCACCTCCCGTCGTCAAAGGCTAGCCCATCGATGGTAAACGACACCAGCTAGTGTCGAGACATGTACAGATGCTCTTTAGAAGCTAATTTAGGTCCCTTGATGTTTTTGCCTAAAGTCTAATGCTAATATTGAAGTTTTCCGTTCAAACGTTTGTAATTATGTTTTTTTGCTCTCATCAGTTTGGGAGTCTTACCTCAGTAGATGTTATTGAACAAAGTTTTAGTTGTGTTTTTTTTTTTCTTACACAATTAAACTGAGCTGTGTATAATGAAGAATGAAAGACGTTTATACTTCTTAAGCAATTCTTAACATATAACCGACCTCTACAATAAAAATAATAACAGTAGCTATAACTGTATGCTGATTTAGGCTTACAAGAACGTGAATTAATAAATAGGTCCATTTTAACGCATTATATTGCCATTCAGTAGAAAGAACACTTGTCATTTCATTGTCAATAGCAGGAAAACGTCATTAAGTGAAACATTTAAAGCCACTGAGATGCATTTGATTACAATGAATAAATGCCTAAAATAAAAATAAAAAAGAAATATTAAAAACTATATGTGTCCTTTTATATTTTGTGACTTTCATATTTGGTGAAAAATGCAACTTTATTATAACTTATTTAAGAGATCCCACCATGTTTGGATGGAGTGTCACACTTTATTTGGGTTCTGTTGAGATGTTTGGCCGCTCCTCATTTTCCCGCCCTTCATTACATTTCTACGTTTGTCTCCTTTTTTCCATTTCATTTTGATCAGGAGGATTAGTGTAAAACAGGCGCGTTCATCACCAAACGCCTCCACCTCAACCGCTCTTTGTTTTTCTGGAGCCTTATGGTTGCCATTTTAAGACCCCCCTTCCCCCCACCCCACAGCTCCTTCCACCTCCTCACCCCACGGTATATCTTGCTGATGCAGACCTTTTGTAATCTGTACAAAAAAATAAAATAAAAATATAAATTCCAAGGCCTCGTCGACTGTTTTACGCGCTCTTTGTTTTCGCCCTTCTTTTCTCCGCTCTTCACTCGTCCCTTCCTCGTCCTCACTCTTCTGAATTTGTCTTTTTTTTTTTTTGATTTTATGAAAAGGAATCCAGGGGGCTTTTGACAAATCCTGGAGTCTGGCTGGTCTTCCTGCATTTTTGGGGGGAATGTTTGAGTCGTGCTTCTTGTAAAGAGGATGTGCCGCAGGAGCGGTGTTTCCTGACTGATAAGGGAAAAAGCCGTTCTCCGTCAGGATGTTTGGGCCTGGTTGGGCCCTTGCATTAAAAGAGCCAGAGTTGAGGGAAGGGGACCTGCTGTTCAGAAGGCGGGAGGAAGCACTGCTGGGCTGATTACCATCTTACCGACTCGTCTTCCACAAATTTTCAGCAGAGACTTCATCGACCTGGCCTCTCGTATCTCCAGCACAAACATATTGCAAATAGAAATATGACCCCTCTTGGTATCCATATTCCCCTTTGATTGTATGCATTTGACACCTTGCTGTGGATGTGATTAAACTGAGCAGAATGACAACATTCATCATGTTAGCAGTATTTGCAGCTGGTCAGCGGGCTCATTTCTTTGAGGTTAGATCATTTCCCCATGTGCCTGCAGGGCTTGAATCGCTCCGGAGGGGTCAGTTTGAGCGTTTTTGAAAGTGGACGGTAGAGCTAGAGGCGTTTGGGGTGGAAAAAAGTGCATTTGATGAGGCATCGGCTCCGGAGTTGTCAGGGTCTAGCTTGGGGCGCAGTTGCAGACTCCCTTGGTAAAATCTACCTGTATAATTTCAGAAGAATCACACCCACCACCTCAGGGAAGGACGCTGCAGCACAGACAAGGACAAAGACTCAAGCGTCAACAAAGCGTCATCACATCAGACACAACTGGCACACAGCAGAAGCCCAAGTCATCGAGAATACATTGTTGATATAATTGTTTTATTATAGCAAGATTAAAAATCCCTTAAATGGAGAATTTTGAATTATAGGATAAAAATCACCAAAAGTGCAATTTTGCTTAGTAAAATTCACTTTAAATAATATTTCTTCTTCCTAATGTTTTTACAGAAAACATAATAATGTACCCATTTAAAAAAAAAAAAATCAGAGCCACAAATAAATGGTAATTTAACATTTTATAGACAAACAGCAGTGGAATTGATACTTGTAGTTGACAACAATGTAAGTGTTATAGAAAAAAAACTAAAAAACAAGTAACCACCTAAAACTACACGTAATTATACAATAAAGTATGTTTAAAAAATTGTACTCTATCATAATAGAAAATATCAATGTCTACTCATATTTAAATTGTGCTTCTTGTTCGTTTTATGGAGACTTGATTAAAGTTGCCATCTTGTGACTTTTTATTGCCTTAAAATGTCACAAATTTAACAAAGAACTTTTCAAAACAGAATCTTTTGTTTATTTTATTCTAAATCGTGTTTAGTGTAGATCAACACATTTATTTTAAATGCTGTTTTTGACAGTACTTCACTTAATGAGTGCATCCAGGTAGATAATAAACTCAGTTTTTATTAATAAATTAGTGTGCCTTACAATTTTATTTTCCCCAGTTATGACGTTTCATCAAAAATATTCTTCTACACCTGTGGAGCATCTTTAAATTTTAGTCATTTAACTTTGTGTGTTTGTTTTTCATTCACACGGGTGGAGCTGCATTATTGCAGGTTGACTACTTTTACTGAAGATGCTCATCTCTCTAACGAGCACATTACAAACCGTTTAATAAACTTTAAAGTGAAATAAAAAAGGACAACTACTGTACATGGGAATGCTTCGCTGGTGTTTGTGGATCTTGAGAACACAAAGTTTCAGGAAGTGAGGGCAAAGCACTCAACAAGTCAGCCTTAATTTTTTCCTCCCAAGAAGTTGACCGACTAAAGGTGAGGACGTTAATCAATCTGAAAACTAGAGACGTCCACAGATGCTGTTTCAGCAGCAATATTCCATCATGAAGTAAAAGAAAGAATAACTGCAGACATTAAACACATTAAACTGTGATAAATGATCTTCACGCAGCACCTTTTTACCCGAAACAATACTATTAATTTGACAAATTGAAATTTTCACACAATTGCAGATCTTAAGATGTGCAATATTTGTGATTTTAAGGATATAGGCTGAACAAACAAAAGAGGCTCCCCTTGTTATTTCTCTCTGATTGCTGCCTGGCTTCGTTCCAGGCTCAGGTCAAGCCGTGGAATGAGTCTGTCAGGTAGTCTGTTATGTTTCCTATTTCCTCCCCTGCCGTCATGTCACTTCCCTGGGCAAACAAACAAGACTGCTGGTCTAAACGACGCGCCATTGGTGTTAAAGTAGGAGCGTAAGGCTCTTTTGTGTGTGTGTGTGTGTGTGTGTGTGTGTGTGGGTGGACAGCACCCAGAGTCTTCACAGCTGTGTAAAGGATTATCCATTTGATGGGACTGAGGCGCACACTGATCACTGATCAGCTCCTCAGGAGGAACAGAGGAGGCGAACTGTCTACTTGGTCCACAATCCATTGTGCTGAGAAGGAGGAGCGTCCAGCCACATCACATTTAGAAGCAGATGATCTGAGCTTCATGACGTTCTTAATGTATTAATTTCAGGTCAAGAGGAAGTGGCTGATTTGAACTACGTGACCAAGGCGTGTATCAGTAATGGAGACCGAGACTCCGTTTAAAAATACACTACATGATACTTTGGTGTGTTTGAGAGATCAAATACACTGAAAAAAAACCCGCGCTTGATTGACTTAACTAAAAATGGCTGCCAATAACATGAATATGATGGGTTTAAGTTTGTTTAAAAATTTGTCCTTGTCTGTTGTTTAAAATATAACACTTAAAAAAATACCAGAGCAAATGTTTGATTTAGAGTTGCATTCGGGCCCAAAAAATCCGACCCGGCCCGGCCCCAGCCTGTAGCTATCATCACTTCTGAACTCCACCCGACCCAGCGAATTAACAGTGATTACAGGTCTGAACCTGTATATACACACACACACACACACACATGCACACGCACACACACACACACACACACACATATATGTTTGTGATATGAATGCGGGAAGTGTTGACACAGAGATTAGAGAAGACGAGCCTGTGATGGGAAGGTTGCCGGTTTGATCCCCTGGATTGACAACATCAAAATGTGGGTGGGAAAGGTGAAACACCCTCACCTGCCTCCACCCTCATTTGCCCCACTCTGGGCCCTTGAGCAAGGCTCTTAACCCCCACCATCTGCTCCCCTGGGCGCCCTAGATGGCAGCTCTTTGCTCCATGCAGAGGGCTGTGGTAGCTCGGTGGTCTGTGGTTGTGTCAGGAAGGTCATCTGGTGTAAAAACATTTGCTAAGTCTTCATGTGAGTTAGTTTGCTGTGGTGACCCCTGAAGAAGGGAGCAAAAAATAAAAATAAAATGCTTGCAATATGAATACCTCGTTCTTGTTGGTTATATCTTGTTCAAACTTCATTACATTTATCAGAACAATTGTAACAAGATAAATGGTTGTATCACACTGAACTCAGCAAACTTTACATCAAATCAAAGCACTCCAAGTGATGGATTAAAACACATTTACATCTGTGAATACTGTTGGAGTGTATTTCCAGTTGGAGTGTGTTACAGCAGCATAATAACCTGTTTACAATT